TTAACTTTTTTCTTGTTTTTAATATGTTGGAAGAAGCTTTTTTTGTTATTTTTTACTTTTGTGGCAAGCCTTTCTTCACTGTGAGCTTTCCTTACTTCATTCACTAATATGAATAAACTTTAAATCAAAGTATTTTGATTACATATTTAGATCAATGTAAGAACAGAAACCATAAGAGTTTAATTGTTAGCCTGGAGGGTCAGTTTAATATAGTGGCTTAAATCCCTGCCTGATTTCTTCTTGCTTTTCAAAAGTGATTTGGTGGCGGTTTTCTTTCTTTTCTACTTTTCTTTCAGAGAGAGATAGAAAAACAGGCATCAAAGTCCTTTTAATTAACATACACACACAAACTTCACAAATTCAGCAGCAAAGAAAGCAGAATTTCTGGCTAATCTCCCTAAGAAGCTGCCTCAATAATCCCAGATAAGAAATTGACAGATGTACGGCCCTAGCAAAGGAAAAAAAAAAGAATAGCTGCTGTTAGAATTTCTGGCTCTGTCATTAGGAAAAGCACTTGTTGGCAAGCTTTAAAAGATCAAATACACCCAGAAGTCTTCTGGAAATAAGCGTTTCTTTTCACGCTCTAATGTAATTAGCTACCACCCACACAAAACCCCCTTTAATTAAAAAGAAATATTTCAGAAGCATATTAGCAAGATGGCTCTCCTTGTGCACCGATTGTCCCTATTTATCAATAGCAAACCATGCAACCCTTTGAGGGTGATGTTTGTGGGAGATGGGGCTGAGAACTGCTATTACCCTGTTAAGGTCTTTCTTGATTTCATTTTCTGACTGATATCGAGCAATAGAGAAAGCTGCCTGTTCCACTTTGCATCTTTGGTCATCATAGCTAATCTACAGCGTCTTCCAACTATAATTATGCTACAATAATAGCAATAGCAATGAAAGCGCTCAGTGGGTAAGACGCTGAGCTTGTCAATCAGAAAGGTTGGCAACTCAGAGGTTCAAATCCCTAGTGCCATGTAACAGAGTGAGCTCCCATTACTTGTCCCAGCTTCTGCCAACCTAGCAGTTCGAAAGCATGTAAAAATGCAAATAGAAAAACCACCTTTGGTGGGAAGATGTTATGTGCACCTTTGGCATCTAGTCATACTGGCCACATGACCACGGAGACGTCTTCGGACTGCGCTGGCTCTTCAGCTTTGAAATGGATATTATCACTGCCCCCTAGAGTCAGAAACTACTAGCACATATGTGAGAGGGGAACCTTTACCTTAATAGCAATGAGGACAGACTGTATGTTGCTTAGTGATGGCTGGGTAATGCTATGAAGATGCCACAGGTAATCCTCAACTTACGAGTTCTTTTAGTGACCATTCAAAGTTATGGCAGTGAAAAATAAGGGATTTACAATCACATTTCACACTTACGACCCTTGTAGTATCCCCATGCTCGTGTGATCAAAATTCAGATGCTTGGCAACTGGTTCATACTTATGACCCTTGCTGTGTCCCAAGGTCATGTGATCCCTTTTTGCAACCTTTTCACAAGCAAAATCAATGGGGAAGTCAGATTCACTGAATAGCCATGTTACTAATTTAACAACTGCATGGACTTACTTAACAACTGTAGCAAGAAAGGTGGTAAAATGGGGCTAAACTCACTTAACAAATATCTCACTTAACCGAAATTTAGGGCTTAGTTTCAGTCATAAGTCAAGGACTACGACTGAGTTAGTTCTAAGTGAGATACTAGGAATTGTAGTCCAGTTACACTTAGAGGGGATACAGAATCTCATTTCTGGTCTATCCAAAGATTCCTAGTAGAGATCTTTCTAAGCTGCATTTAAGATGCCAAGGATTGAATTTAAGTCTTTTCTTCAAACACCTCTCCCTCCCCCATATATCTTTTTAAAAGTAGTTTGTTGTTAACAATGGATTCATTTACAAGGCTTTTAAACCACACAAATCAAAGCCAAAAAGTGTACCTTTATGATGTTAGATTAGAATCAAAATTAAACATAACACTACAACAGTTAAATACATAGGAAAAAAGAAACAAATGTATGTGCATGTATAGAGACAGAGAATTCCACATTCAATGGACATATATTAAAACATAATTCTTCATCAGATTAAATAGTCATTGCATTCAAGCACCACAGCCTGATGGAACAGCTGCATTTTAATGGACTTTCAAGAAGTCAGAAGGAACCATTCTGATGTTCAGGGGCAAACTGTTCAGAGGAGAAGGCTGCAACTAAAAATTTAAACTTCTGAGGTCCCTGCGGTTTTTGAAAGAAGGATCCCATCCTACTCAATCCTTTCATAAGGGCTGAGGTTACTAGGAGAAGACAATCCAGCAGATATTTAAGCTTTGGACTTCGATGGGCTTTAAAGATAGCAACCACCACTTGGAATCCAAGTAGTAGCTAGGTATTACATGGTTATGCAATAGCACATCCTTATGTGCTTAAACTGCTGCATTCTGAATGAGGTATTGCTTCCTAAGGCTGGATGAAAGCAGCCCCAAACAGAGTATCACAATAATTTAGTTGAGAGGTGACAAGGTATTTGTGCCAACTAGCCATTAGGGTTACTTGCAATCTTCTTCATAACCCCAATGGAAAATCTTGGATGTTTTGTGTCCTCGTAATTCAAGCTACATGTAAAGCAAGTATCATGCAATGGCATTTGAAAGCCATCAATTATCCTGAAAGTGTTGCCCAATTTGAGGTAAGAGTAAACATCTTATTATGCTTACTTAAAGGCTGAAAAGCAGTGTAGGCACTTAAAAATAAATGGAAAGGAAACTATTACGGCTGCTTTATTAATAAATTGCTTTAGAAGCCAATTCAGGGCAGCCATTGCACTGTAAATGATGCAGAAATTGCCCTGATTTTCATTGGTTATAAACATTGGAAGGGCATTATGCTTGGTGTTATCTTCTGTTCTTTCTATAAAGACAGGGAATTATCTTTTTTTAAAATTGCATGTCAGAGGCTAGGACAACATAAAATTAAGAATTGAAGACTTCCAATCCCATGTGCCCCTACTGTATGCAAGCATGCATGTAGAGATCATAAAGAGAGACAATATTCCTTGATGTAAAAATAGACCTGTTCACACTCATCAGAACAATTCATATTTGTTTCAGGACCAGGACATTTTTTGATTCCCAAATACATGTGATTTCAAACGAGAACATCCCAACCTTGTAATATTCGGTGACTTCCCAAAATGCTGGCCAAAATTATTTTAAAAAGGGTTGTTTTGTTTATTTGGTGCCCCTTTCCTTCCTTTCTCTCTCCACTAGTGGTATCCACCTGGACTAACAGGGGTCTCTGGTCTCCAGATTGGAAAACTTTCTCCTAGGGGCATTTGACTGGCTACTGGTTGAGGAATTCTGGGAGGTGAAATCCAAATGTCGTTAATTTGCTGAGGATGGGAAAATCTAATCTATCAGTGCCTAGGACAGCATGGAAATGCATTATGTAAATTAGATCACACATAACCAATATCCAATTGGGAATGCCTGCTGTGGTGTGTATGTGTGTGGTGTGGAGAGAGAGGGGAAGGGAGGGAGGGAGAAAGAGACACAGCTCTTCTTCATCCCTTGATGAAAAATTCTGGAGAACACAAAATCTTTTCCTTTTTGGAGGTCACATTTTAATGGTCTAAATCAGGAGTCTGCAAACTTGATAACTTGTGGACTTCAACTCCCAGAATTCCCCAGCCAGCCTTCTTTGCAAGATTGATGTCAACCTACCCAGGTATACCAGTTAAAAAGCACACCCAGAAGAAGCCTGCTGTACTTTAAGTCTGCATAACTTCCCAGAGACTGGTGGGAGGAGCTGCTTGTTGTAAGTAGGGAAGACTGAGAGGGAGTGCAGAGGACAACCATTTGTTGGAAGTGGTGTAGGGTTTCCTGCTTAAGCAAGGGGTTGGACTAGAAGACCTCCAAGGTCCCTTCCAACTCTGTTATTCTATTCTAACTCCCAGCCTGCCCTCCACTCCTTCATCTTCAAAATCACACTGATCTGCTGACAATGCAAACTCCAACCCAAATAATTATCTTGCAATCGACTTTTATGCCACAGAGCCACATATTGAGAATTCAGTGCTTCCTATTTCATACTCTGAATAATCTCTTATAATCTGTGATTTTCTTCTCACCATTTTCATTCTTGAATTCTCTTGAGGGGGGGGAGTTCCCCCTCCTTCTGCCTCTCTTTTCACTTGCCAAGTGTATGATGTACTCCATGATCCTACAAAAAATAATTATTCTGTTTTTTCTTCTTCAGACCTCAACCTCTTGAAGGGCCTTTGAGATGTTAAATTCCTACCATTATTTCATTAATGCCAACTATCCCATACTTCCTGAACACCACAACCAGTGAAATATCAAAGACTTAATGGTCACATACACTATATAATAAACACTACTTTTCCAGTACAGTATTTGCAATTACTTAATTTTAATTTTTATATTAACTTTTAAAAATTGTATCTAAGCACACCACTTATACACAAAGGAAACTGTGTTCTTTAAGACATCAAGATGGAAAATTTTATATAACCCAATTTTAAAAGGAGTGTGTAAAACCACCAGAAATACAGTAAGTAGAGCCAGTGTGGCCCTTTAAGAAAAAGCAGAAGAATCCATAATGTGAAAGTCTTGGGCTGGGGGTGCCTTCATTAGTATTCCATTGCTGATAGCAGCTAATACTTCCAGGCAAATGGCCAGCACACAACACCAATCCATATACTGTGTGATAAACCTCAGCCTTTTCTGTAGCTTCATAAGACATCCTTCGTTGAAGAGTTTCTCTGATTGGTTTAGGTCACCATTGCAATCCAAGAAAGTCTCTTTGCAACAGCTTTCTGGAACAAGGACGTGTCCATTCTGGAGATACTTTGGGAGCCCTTCTGTCCAGTCAGTGTAATTGTAGATCCCACAACACTTTAATTGTTTGTGGACGGAGTTCACCATCTCAGTGCTGCAATGATGTGGAGAACTCCCGTTGTATTGGTGGAAAAAGTGACCCAGACTGCTTTTCAGTTGGTAGCATGCTTTAGCAGAGTAGACTTGGGTCATGGCGACCGAGGAAGTTTCCAGACAGAACAGGACCAGCAGCAAATACATTAGAATTCCTTGACTATAATGAGAATTTCTCACAGGGTTGTAGACTGCCAACAACCCAGCTAGTAAAAGCAAAGCAGCAGTCAGGATAGCCAGCCAACCCGGCAGAGGGAAGAATTGATTTGGAAAGAAAGCTCCATAGTTTTTGTAGGTAAGGATCACAAATATTCCTCCAAACAGTAAGAACAAGGAAGTTCCCCAAAGAAAGAAACCAACGAAAGTCAGAACAACTTTAGGTAAGGCTCTGTCCCAGGGCTCAGTGGCAAGTATCAAGAAAGGATTGAAATTGAGATTATGCCAAATCCTTCTGATTTTACAACATTGCATTATAATTCCACGTACATTATTCCTTTCCTTTTTCCTCTCTACCTCGCTCCCTCCTTCCAGAAATACCTCCATCTTTAGGCAGGTGCAGATAGATCCAACCTTGATCCCCAGTGAGGATCAGCCTCTTTTCTTTATAGTTTTGCAGTCCCCATCCTGCAAAGCTTATGGACTCAGTGCTAATTAGATATATACCTCACATAAAACATGGTTAGTCCAGTCAGTTTCTTGAATATACCCTAACTGTGATTCTTTTATAAACCACCTTATCTGGGTTTACAAAGCCTTCTCATTTCTTTTTCCCCCCTTTTTAATCCCCTTGCCTTTCATTTAAATGGTGAATTAAAGGAGAATTTGGCACATGGTTGAACTGCACCAGCAAAAAGCCTAAGAACCATAGGATATTTAATGGAAGATAAAAACACATGTTGTAGTTATTGCCCTTTTGTTTTCAGGATACAACAAGGAACAACAAAAGGAAAGTTGGATTTATCTGACAGTTGTTTATTAGACACACTTGCATTTTGGGTGAGCAGGTCTTTTCCTGAAAAATCCAGGATGTGTGACATGTCCCGGTGAAAGTAGATTACTAAATGTTCTGCAACTGGCTTGCCTTGTAAAATTGTCAGTGGATTAAACCAAGCAAACAGACCTGCCTAACTCCGTTCTTATGCATGGAATAGAAGATGGCTGTGCAAATCTTAGCAGGTAAGGATTATAACAGGGTAGATTTGTAAAACTCACTGAATCACAGTAACTACACTGGCCTACCATATTTTATGACACCCAGCCCTTAGAATGAGTTTACAGTTCAGTCTGTTGCAAAAACTTAAATTACATCTGCAAACTGTAGTTAAGTTTGTTAATAAATTCTGAGAAGAGTTAAGATTGTACAGTTTTAAGACAAGCTCTCAGCCTGTTGATAGTTAGAATATTCTGAAGCAGCTAGTTTATAGCTCATTCGCCTATATAACACTAACTGTATTGTTATTATTTGCTTTCTGGATTTATATGCCATCTTCCTGTTGGATTACCCATGATACCTTGTTATTTAAAACAGTCTGCATACTAAAATATAAAATCCCTTAATAAATACTAGAAAATTAAAATAGGAATAAAAATATCCCATTAAAGATTGTTTCAGCCAAATTTAAGTGGCATTTAATGGGTGGGGTAGTTAATTAATTCAATAAGTACATATCTGAATTTTCTACATGAAGATAAGATTTTATGCTTTTAATAGCAAAATCTCATATCTGTTGGAGTTTCCCAAAGTCATTTAAATCACATCTCCACAAATTCTATCTAAAAGTATGCGGTAATGAATTCAAATATACTTTTTCTTTTAAAACGTAGCTTGAAAAGGATGGCACGCATGATGTGGCACACAGCATCCTCTCTGTGGGCAGGCAAGTTCAGATCCACTGCTCATGCACTTGTGCCTCCCACTGGCCATCTGGTTTTCAGGTCTCTGCCGCGCATGCATGGTGGTGGTTTGGGGCATTTTTCCAAGCTCTTAACATATTTTTCTAATATGGTGACCAAAATTGGATGCAGTATTCCAGGTGTGGTCTTACTAAGGATTTAAAAAGTGGCACTGATACTTCTCATGATTTTGATTCTATGCCTCTGTTTAGGCAACCAAGGATTGTATTAACTTTTTTCCGCTGCTGCCGCACACTGCTCACTCATGTTTACGTGATTGTCTGCTAGGACTCCAAGGTCCCTCTCACAGTTACATTTTTGATCCAGGTTTCGACTCATCTTTACTTATTCCTTTGATTTTTCCTGCCTAAGTGTAAAAGATTTACTCTGCATGTCCTCAACCTGCATGTCCTCAACCACTTTGTGATAATAGGGAAGGTATATATTAAGAAGAAAAGCAATCAGGCTTTGCCGCAGTTGTTATATTTTCATTTACTGAAACAGGACAACTAAGCTGCGAGTCAGAAACAGGTAGAAAAAGAGCCCCAGGTTTATTGGCAAGTCTTCTCTTTGGGGAAATAATTATATTGTGTTTATTTTCCCCATTTCTCTCTCCTCATAAAACTTAATGAGATATTAACATTTGAGTTACAGCTGTCTTTATAGTTTATTCTATAAGTTCTAAAAGGTATTGATGACTAAGACAGCCTCCAGGGACATTTTACAGCCCCTCACAGCTCTTCTGGTAAGGACTCTGCTGCTTTCTCTTTCTGAATAGCACAGGATAATTTTGACACATTATCAAGGTGCCTGTCTTTCTAAATATTTTCCTGATACATAATTCACTCAGTTCTGATTCTCTGCACTTGTGTGAAACCAAGAGGTGGGGCGAGAGGAGGAGAGCATACAATTAAAGTATTGTGCTTTTTCACTGAAAGAGTGAGAAGAAAAGAATCCTGAAGATCCAACAGAACCTATATCTTGCAGTGATCACAAAATTGGTGTCCATTTATGAAATTCTGCATATGCACTTGTGTGAACTATCACAGTTTTCTTCACTCCTCTGTCATGCACCACTGTCCTTATCTAGCCAAGTTCTCAATTCTTAAAGATGCTTCATTAAAATTGTACTACAGTAATTCAAGTTCCTGAACTACCATCTGCATCTGCCTGCATTGACTGCAGCTCCTCTAATTCATAATTGGTGGCCATTTGGTTGGAACTGATAAGAACTTGTATCTAGTGATCTTTTATCCCAACTTTAGTGGAAGGAGCACAGGGAAATGGCTGTGCTATATGTGTTTTGAATTTGGAATCTTAATGTCAGCTTTTAAACGTGATAGCAAAGATGTCTTTCATAGTTACTTGAGACTAGGAATAGCGAGTCCTTGTCAGAAGAAATAACACTGGATTAAAATGAAAAAAAAAGGTTGAATTGAATGTATAGCAGTTTTCTGTATTCCAATGGTCAGTTTCATCCAAAGATCATGATAATCTAATTTCAGATTAAGTAGGCCCTGTAATGGAGCTGTACTAGTGTATCACAAAGCAAGAGGTTTCCTCTTCCTTTCTCTTTTCTCTGCTCTGCTTTTTCTTAATGATATTAGTTCTCTTTCATCTGCTACCTAAGGAAAAACAGTATTCTCTTCAGCCCCCTTCCCATTTATTTATTTAAAATACTCCTTTGTACTTATTTATGTACTTTCTTTTTTTCTTTTTTCTTTTTTATTGAAGGTTATAAAAAAAGGCAAGATTTACAAAATACAAAAGAAAAGAAATAAAACTCATTACATATTTACAGGGCAGACGGCACTGTTCATCTCACATAGTTCATCTCACCTTGCCTAGTATAAGACTAGGTTACTCATTCTATGCAGGTATTTATAATGGATTTTTCCTATCAGATCATCAAAGTTTTTTCAACACAGTAGTCTATTGATATTACTTGTAGGTGAATTCTCACCTCTAATACATTTCTTATCTCATTTGTCACTTAATCTTTGTGTATTGTATATTTAAATTGTTACTTAAGTCATTTTAAGTTAATCAATTATAAATACCTGCATA